TGCAGATGAAAATTTCCCCCCCAAGCAAGAAATTCGCTATGGCCTTCATAGCGTTGACTAGTAACTTCCGGATCAAGTGGTTTCTCTTTTAGAACATCAACGGCTGAAATCAGTCGGGCCTCATCAAAGGAAGACATGTCAAATATTGTAACCATCCCATCTGGCTTTTGCAAAGCACGGTGTAAGGGCGACAAGGGTGTATCGAAGAGTGAAATGAATGGTGTGTCTCCTTTGAATCTTGATAGGTGTACGTGGGCATAACCATTCACGACACATGGATCAGAATCTAGAGGCGGAACGTTTTTCTTATGTGCCCATAGGCCAGCAACAAAATGAGTTGGAGAATTGAAGCCATTGCTCTCCGCACTCCAGAACCGAAACATAAGACGCGGTTGTCTGCTATCCGGGTTGCATTTTAACGAGGGAACTGGGGGTGGCGATGTTGGGGATGGGGCTGATTGTGCAAAAGAATAATCCTGAGAAAATGTTTGTTGGTCGTTTGTGCTGTTTCGGTTTTCTTGGAGAGAAACAGCAAGTGTCTCGGCCACTGTGACGATATCCCGAATGACTGCAAACTGGGTCGTTGTCAAAGTTGAATCCGAGTGAATCTGACTCCAAATCGGGGAATTTTTATTTCGTAGCGTATGCCACTGTGCTTGCAGTATTCTTCCAGGCATCCCGTCATAGTATCTATGTCGCCCAAGCTGGTGTTTAAATAGCTCACTGAATATTTTCCCGAGGTCATTCCAGGAATTGTCATAGTACTTTCTTAACAGGCACACCACCTGTCGCTGGCGATCCGTCCACTCATGCCGGCGCGGCGGTTCCCGAAGGTCAAGTGCGACAACGGAGTCAGACATTGTGAGTTTGGTAGGATGTGGGGGTGAGAAGCAATATTAGAAATTGAACGGATAGACCGTTAAACTGCGTAGTTGGAAAGCACGACTGGATCCTTGGCTGTCAAAACGAGAGATGCTAGGGCAAAGCACAGTCACAGAGCATAAGGAGAGTGCAAAGAGGAGGACGACGAGGAACGAGTCGAATATGAAGGAAGAGGAAGAAGAGGAGGCGAGAGGGCAGAGAGAAGCGATATAAGGGAACAGAATGCCATGAGGGGAAAGTGTTACTGACTCCAGGTTTGTGTTCTGCATTGTGTTGTTTTATCCAGGAATGCCGCCACGGGGCTCCTGGATCAGACATGGCCTGAGGACTTGCCGTGTTTTGCGAGCCAACAGGGGCACGGCTGGCAGAAGAGAGGCTGCCCGGCGGTTTAGGCACTGCAGTTGCAGCACTGCCGCTGTGTTCGCCATCACCATCGCCGTTTTAAGCCAAAGTCGAACCCGGAGCTACCGCGGAGTTAAGCCATCACGTGACAATTTGCTTAGTCACCTGGTTAGTTGCCATATTTGGCTGCGAAACCGTCAATGGCTGTTTACTGATCTGTCTGTCTGTCAGTAGCCACGCTGCGAACATGGACAATGCCCACTCGTACCTCGAGTCACTGCTGAATAAGACTCTGCGGCTTCACACCTCAGACACTCGTCTGTTCGTGGGCATCTTCAAATGCACCGACAATGTGAGTTTCTTCGAGGGCTGATTCCAGCGGTCCCTGTGTCAATATCCCATCTGTCTCACAAATAGAACGTGGGGGCTTGCACTGCGTAGGATCGGAATATCATTCTCGCAAACACCTACGAATATCGCTACCCAACGCCCGCTGCTTTGAACGAAGCGATCCGCCAGCAGGGCCAGGGGGAGTCGGAAGTGGTCACGGCCGACATGACAACCCGCTTCATCGGACTCGTGGTGGTTCCTGGGCGGCACATCACGAAAATCGAGCTGGACGAGCCCTCCAGATAAACACAAGCGGCGTCGGTACCGGGGAGCAATCATTGGATGCCCATCCGATGCAGAAGAAAAACGTCGCCCAAGAAAACGGGCAAAAGTCACAAGGTCACCCGACGAATGTACCAATGGAGCCCGCGCAGCGTCCCAACCGTGGGCCCTTGGCGTGAGTCCGCAAGGGAATGGCAAGAGAGCGCGACGGAGAGATAGTATATTAATAGGCCACGTCCTCATACACCAACCAGTGCTTGAAGTCTTCCGCTGTAGAAGTTTCCAAATGTGTAACTAGTAGATCTGTGCGTTCCGGAGGTCCCGCGTATCTCAAGAGGAACATAGCCGTAATTGGTTGACGAAAAACGTCTTTTGAGGGCCATGCCTGGATCGTTTTGAGCGATATTGGGCGGCGGTCCTGCGATCAGACACTTGGACCAGGATTGTGAACGAAGCTGCGGCTCTCTCGTCTGTCCGCCGCGTCTCGACGGTCCCGATCTTGACGAGAAGGCCCGTCGAGTGGCCCGACTGCCCAGGCCGATCGACACTGCAAGATGCCCCGATGCGGCGCTTGAAGCCATGGTGTTCCGCTCATCAGCCAGCAGCACTCCATTGGGCGACGCTGGGCTCGCTACCCAGCCCGGGCCATACGGAATCAAAAGCGAGGACTGCAGCGCCAACGGGGGGAAATCAGAGGGAATCCCAGAGACCACGTATCACAGTTATCAGAGCGCGAATGCTTATATCTTGTCTGTTCAAAACACCCGTTGTTGCCATCATGACGCCACCGTGCCTCTGGCTGCTGTTGTCAGACTCTAATCGCTGGGCGTGCATGGCGGAGAGGCCCAGCAGACATGCTTTGTGAGACGGCGCAAAGGCTTGATCGTGGTTGTGCCACCGGATGCTGTCATTGGGAGGAGAGGAGAAAAGAGAGCAGCATAGTCCGTGGGTAGAGAATAGTTGGCTTCTGCTGCTTTATTTAGAGGAATTCGTATGAGGAGCTTGGTAACTATCTCACTAGTTGGTGATTTGTGCTGAGAAAGTCTAGATCTTCTCCCATCCGCAGTGTCTCTGTTTCGTCTCATCATCTTTCCGTCTTGTCTTCACAACAGTTGCTTCAGTGCTTCACACACTCCATTTCTATCTCTCACACACGCCTTGCTGCCTCTCTGAGTTCTTCTGCCGCCCGGTACCTGCAGGTTGTGCTGGATCGAGCTGCCGGTGACCCATGACACCGCCAACGCCACTCCCACGGCCGTCCTGCTCTCGACCCCAGAAACATCTCAAGGCGCTTCCCGGCCCATCGTGCTCGTAGGCACACTCTCCGCGCTGCTTCTTCACACTGCCGGCTTTCGCCACAGACGCCCTCTCCCACGACCAAGCTACGCTTCCCGTTCCATGTGAGAGACTTTCCCCAGCTCGAGCCCCTCGAATCCTTCCTGCCAGCCGCTTTCCTCGCTCTCTCTTCCCCCGTGCTCGAATCGAGCAGCAAAAATCATCGAACCTGGAGCCTTTTCGCCGCCACCACCGCGTCCCTTTCGTGCCCTTCCCTCACGATAACTACGATCGACGGCTGATCGTTTCTCTGACCAAGTCGTCCAAGAGGTTGGCGCGAACGACCGTTGTCGTGGAAGCGAGTTTCATCTGCTTCCTGTCTACGCTCTTCGAGCCACCCTAATTGGAGTAATCGCACACTCGCACATCCTGCCTCTACCCAGCCATTTCGTTCGCTTGTCTGAGTAACTCTACCGTCGTTTGCCGCTTGGCCTTGTATCATGGGCCAGCAGCAATCCAAAGGGAGTGGCTCCCGGATACCGGGGGCCATCGCCCCCGATAAAGCCGGTCCGGACTCCTTACAATCCTACCCTTCCTTCTCTCGATCCGATACAAAGGATTCAGGCCGCTCAATTCGCGGCTCCATTCGGTCCAAAATCCCCGGGACCAGCAAAAGCGACAAGTACGACAGCCCCAGGACCTCGAACGGGAATCTGTCGCGAGGGGATATGGGAAATGGAGACAAGTCAGATGCCGCCTCTGTCCGGTCAACGCCCTCTCGCTCCACACGAGCTGCCTCGAATGCTTCCGTCATCACAGACCAGTCTGCCATTTCTCAAGATGAAGAAGAGCCCCAATCGCCGGTCGCGCCAAACCCTCCGCCATCACCTCCGCAGTCGGCCTCCCTGGGGCGTGGCCACGAGAATGTCGATGCCGCACAGAGGTCCGGCGAAGTGGACCACGTATCTGAAGCGCCGCCAACTGGCGCAGGACAGTCAACGGTCTCCCAGAAACCCGGCGAATCTATCCTTGTCAAAAGAGATAACATGATCAACCCCGTTCTTCGCGAATTTAACGGGTCTTCAACCCCGGATAGCGTTAGCATGAATGGTTCCCCCATGGGGATTGGGTCGTTGAAGTCTATCGATGTTGATGATATGATTACACGGCTCTTAGATGCCGGGTATTCAGCCAAAGTCACCAAGGCAGTGTGCCTGAAGAATGCAGAAATTATTGCCATTTGTGCTGCCGCACGGGAACTCCTCCTTTCGCAGCCCGCCCTGGTTGAACTTGCAGCGCCGGTTAAGATTGTTGGCGATGTCCACGGGCAATATACAGACTTGATCAGGCTTTTTGAAATGTGTGGTTTCCCTCCTGCCTCGAACTATCTATTCTTGGGTGATTATGTCGATCGCGGCAAGCAAAGCCTGGAGACTATTCTTCTTCTGCTTTGCTATAAACTAAAGTACCCTGAGAACTTCTTCTTGCTGCGCGGGAACCATGAATGTGCCAATGTCACTCGTGTCTACGGTTTCTACGACGAGTGCAAACGCAGATGCAATATAAAAATATGGAAAACTTTCGTCGACACTTTCAACTGTCTCCCAATTGCATCGATTGTTGCTGGCAAGATTTTCTGTGTTCACGGTGGTTTGTCCCCGAGCTTGTCGCACATGGATGACATCCGTGGTATCGCCCGACCTACAGATGTGCCCGATTATGGATTGCTGAATGACCTACTCTGGAGTGACCCGGCGGATATGGAGGAGGATTGGGAGCCCAACGAGCGAGGTGTGAGTTACTGTTTTGGTAAAAAGGTTATCATGGATTTCTTGCAGCGTCACGATTTTGACCTTGTCTGCCGAGCACACATGGTGGTGGAAGATGGATACGAGTTCTTCAACGATCGAATCTTGGTCACTGTGTTCTCCGCTCCCAATGTGAGTATATACTCTCGCCCTTAAATCAAGGTCGTACCTAACTAATGATGCTTGGGATAGTATTGCGGAGAGTTTGATAATTGGGGCGCTATCATGTCCGTGTCTGCGGAATTACTCTGCAGCTTCGAGCTTCTCAAACCCCTGGACTCGAGTGCTCTAAAGAGCCACATCAAGAAGGGTAGGAACAAGCGAAACAGCATTTTGAACAGCCCGGTAAGCCCGCCTTCTCTGTACCTCGCAGCCAAATCTCGTTCCCCTTTAGCATCAGTTGTTTTGAAAGCTACTAACACAATACAGCCTGCTTTGGTATCCGCCCAAAGTTATTAGCATTGATTACACTGCTTCCTACGATACTTCACTTTACACCTTTGGACTTGAGTCGTTTTAGTCATAGGATGCTCGATCACGCGGCTAGGGACCTCACATCTTCCTGTACTACAACCGCGCGTCATTTGAGTTGCAGTTTTCATAACCCTTCTAAGTCTGATATCGATCATCTTCACGGTCCTAGCTTGATTAGGCTATTCCGTGACTCCTCGATTCCCACATCAGATCTTTTACTACAACACCTTTGCCTTGGATTTGAACTGGGAAACCACACCGCCTCAGATCGCCATGCCCTGATTACACAAACCAGGCCTACGTTTACAACTTACACTGCTCGGAGAACCATATCCAACTAATGCGGGTCTGGCTCTGGCTTCCAGCCTCCTTGCTGTGTCGCGAGACTCAATTCTTCCATCTATTTAGCGATCTCATAACCTCCCGCCCCTGGCGCATTGCACCGAACCTTGGAGGCCCCCCGCCCCCAGCCCAAAAACATTGTACGAATGCCAACTTTTGAGGCTTTGACCGGCTCCGTACCGACTCTGCAGATCTTATAACGGGATAAAGCGACAAATGCAGCTCGTTTTCCTTGGTTCTTCTTCCTTTTTTTCCCCCATAGCTGTTACTCTCTTCGTACGCCCCCCTCGCGGTTTGCTGTTTTCGGGGGGGCATGTAAGCCTGCTTCTCTGTGTGACATAAAGTGCTTTTTTTTTCATGACCGATGCTTGATTACGGATGTATCACCCTGATAATGCTGTGTGGCGCTGGGAGAACAATTGTACCGTCCATAATGGCCGAGTTTGCGCTTTTTAAGTGTGTCCCTTTTTTTAAAAACCCCTAGCTTCTGCATTTGTTTATTTGCAAGCGGGGTCTGACGTAAATAACTATTCAATGTCCGCGCCCGGCCCTTGTGGATGAACGAGATTGCAATGGTTTGACAGATCCTGTGGTCCGCGTTTTTTTCTTTCCTTTTTCCCCTTTTTTCCTTCCTATTTGATTTATGCCTGTTTCTAGCTGATAATTTGCGTCTCTGTATTGAGAAAAAAATAAAAATAAAGGAAAAAGAAAAATTCATGAGGGAAAATTCACTATTCTGCTATTTGTGTGTTTGCAGGTTTGATGTCCCTGTTTTTGTCATTGCGGTTTACTTTCTTTTACTGTCTAATGTCTAAAGTCAACAATGGTTTCTCTTTTTTTTTTCACTTTCCACACCTCCCTGTTTCCCTTGGGCTGAGAGATACTAGACATGTGAATGCTTCAATGGTCGAACGGAATGATATAACTATCATCTGGAATCAAAATCAGGTGAAATATGGGAATTTATCCAATACATACATATGCGTAAACTGTAGTCCCGCCCTAATTCACAGCAGTAGTAATAATAGCGCAGTTAAACATAAAAGAGAAACTAGGTAGATGGTACACAAGATGCATGGAGTCAAGGTGTGGACTTGGCTCCAAGGGCAGAGGGACGAATAATGATATGAAACAATAACAAAGAGGAAAGACTTGCTTAATCCACATACAAGGAAAAGCTGAAAACAACATGTTGACGGCTAAACTGAAACAAAAGTTTAAAGAAAAGCTTCTCACTAGGCTCACAGTGGCAGAGAGGTTGCTTCAACACAAAGGGGGGAAAGAAATGGGGTAAGTAAAGATAAATCACGAAAATCGAAAAGCTCTCTGAAGTGAATAAGATGACATCCCATCCTGTCGCTGAATAGATAGGACGAACAAAAACGGAGGCTGCTACTTAGTAAACCAATGCCAGTTATCCACACTGATCTCACAAAACCCACAACAATACCCCAATTTGATACATGAATTCATAGTATAGAGATCAAGGAGCATGGGGGGCTGTGCCAGAAATTAAAATATTCAGACAGCTGTCATCCAACAGGTTTATCGCTAGATGTCTCCGAGATCTTCGCCGGAGCTTGTCCCGAGGACACTAATGTGAGCGGAA